GCTACTCAGTGGTAGTCAGTCTACGCCTGTCTACCCGCCACGACTTTCAGCTTGGGATTGGCGGGTCCCTTAAACGGCTTGCTACAGCTACGATTCCCAAATTCTGAGGTTTCATCAGCTCGTGTAGCATCGCCGCGGCACAGGCCGGAATGGAATCTGGATTGCAAACCGAGGATGCGGAGTTCCAGCTCCAGTAAGTTTACGTCTCCTTCTCATGTTGGTGATGGCCTCTCATCTCGAAATCCGTACAGCTGATTCTTCCCTCGGATACTACTGTATGCGTTCCCGCCTAGTAGTTTCTGTGACTGCCAGCCCAAAAGTCACGTTCCTTTTTCCCATTCCCATTTGCTTAGGAGGTGGACTCTTCTAGTGGCTCCACTGCATCGTATGCTGGACGGCGAAAAGATTACAACTAGAAACACAGTCAATCGTAAAGTCACCGCTACGTGATTCGTTCGCACCACAGCTGTCAATAACCCCAACGACAACGTCACCTCCGGTTCACGATACATTATCATGGCAATCTTATCTCCCCGAAGCAGCAACTACGAACGACTAGAAGGCACAATGGGCCCAGTAGACTCGATGGGACGAAGAGGTTGACGTGGAAGAAGTTCTCTTTGGGCGCTGCGCTCCTCGTTGGGGTGATGTGGCTTTGTGGGCCGAGGGCGCATATATTCTCGTGGCGGGGGAATGGAAATGCTGGTTTAGAGGAGAAAGGTAAGTTTCACTGTCTTTCCTTCTAGAAAACTGATGAAAAGACCACGGGAAAAGGATACAAAACGGATACGGCGCCTTCCCCTTCCAAAACGCACCACCAACAAGCCCAACAACATCATCCACCCGTCCCCGTTCCAAAACCACCCACCACACGCCCAGACTCGTACGAAGCTGATTCAGACCCTTCGTCAACGACGCACTATACCCACCTCTCACTCCTCTTCCGGCACTCTCGGACAATATGCACGGCCCTTCCCCAGAATACGATATGAAGTATTTGAAATGACACAACCGGGTCTATCCACATTTGCTGGTAACCCTGAGGGCGCTGCGCGGAGCTTAGACGTCCGCGTCGTGCCCAAGGCCATGCACGGGTCTACACCTGTAACTGTTAAAGATACCGCCAGACTTCGTTTTCGCCATACTCGGTGTTCTTCTCGAGAAGAACGTTGACTCCAGGATACACCTCCACGCTTTCGAGGTTAGTATACCAAGGGAGGAGACAGATATGGAGATATCACGCGTGACTGTGTCCGATAATTGAGCTGATGAGCATGTGTCTTTTGACTCAGGTGAATATGCAAGTGGACCATTGTTAGTCTTTATTTTCAGAAGGCACCTGTCTGGCCACTGTTTCATCTGACCATTCTCAATTGTCAAAGATTTTACAAGATGTTTTTTGAAATGAAGAGATATTTTAGAATTTTGTGGTGCAAATGGCAGTGCTGAGATGTAAATGTGTGCTGCTGCTTCAGAGATTGGCTCAAAAAATGTCATTATAAATTGGTTTGCATCACTTGCAAACTCTGACATACTAGGGTTCAATGCCTATATTTGATATGTTCATGTCAGTATCATAGTAGTAGTATACTTTGATGAGACACTTACTTTGCACCAAGTTTCAGCCAAAAGCAGTAACTGAGCAGCATGATTTACAGCACCCATTAGACTCATAATTTCTAGCCAATGTAAAAGATGGTTTATCAGAAATTTCTCCATTTCAACTATTATCTTCTCTTCTAATGCTCTATCAGAACATTTTTGCAGATAGATTGCCCAGAAGTACCTTGCATGATCTAGAGCAGTAGATTTCACTTTTTCAATATGATCCTGCAGCTCAGGAATTTCTTTATTTAGGATATGTGATGTTTTGAGATCAAAAAAGTCAAACTTTAGCTTTGCACTCATAAATTTCATACAACACCCAGCAAGACAGAGACTGTGCTTCTTAGAATCAACCCAAAAAGCCTTAGAGCACTTTGGGTCAAGCAGAAAATCTGTAACTGACTGATGACAGATCTGCAAATGGCCACTTTCACTGATAGACAAGACTGGACTTAGTTGACTGATTACAGACAATGCATCTCGAACCTCTAGAAGCTGTTCAATATCACTGGAACAAAG